TGGATTTATTAGCAAAATGATATTCCAATGATTAATTTTAGGACTTGAGGTAATGAACTGCCGTTAAATATACACGAATTTTGCTTTTAGCCGTTCCTTTTGATGGCAATAGTGTTCTATAACGATATGCAATGAACAATTATACAAAATATGATAATCAGTCCGAAAAACGTGAAAACCTAATCTCGTCTCCAATTAACAAACATCTCTAACTACATTTCTAGAAGAATCTCCGCACTGGTGAAATAAAAGCTTTCAAAGTAATAAAGTGTGAACGATCCTTTTTGGGTGGTTTGCCTGAGCTTGCATTCCACTTCATGAAGTAAGTAGCTTTAACGTGTGGAGCACTACATTGGCGTTAAACCAGTTCTAACAACAGCGAAGACTTAACTAAGGAGGTTACCTAGTACGCTGAGACTATTTACGATAACGAATCGATTCCTAAGTTTAGAGTCACGATTTCTGCTCAACTATAAACCGCAGTTCCACATTAGTTTATAAGGGAATATGATTTTTGAAATGAATATTCTAGTTCTAGCTAGCTTTCCTATATAAAAAACGGTCATCTTCATCTACATTGCGATCGATGGCTTCAATCTCAACCATGTCTTCATAAAATATCTAGTCTACTTCAAGAAGTCTGTTCCACTGTGTGGGGTACTGTACTAGCTTTACGACAGCAAAAAAGCCGACAGAAGATGGAATTCCTCAATCATATCTCTAAAAACAGTCAAAGCATTTGGATGAACATCAAAACGCCAAGAAATGCGTTTGCAAATCGCCCTTTCAAACCAAACTGTTGCTTAGACTCCTTTTGTAATATAATTTACTCGTATTTCCGCTCTTGCCTTGAAAAAAGATTGCGTGTTATCGAAACACCTTTTTGTCCCAATTTTTCAATCGTACTTTGCTCATACACTAAGATTTTCACAAATGCTCATCTGTACAAATCATTTCATCCTGTAATATTCAATATTGAACTGAAGTGGTGAAAATAATTTGAAGTGAGAAGCCAATTCACAAATCAGCGGTAGAGATGAAAAACTATAAAGCAAGGTGCCGTGGCACTACTTTTTGATTTGAAGTTTACTGGCATCTATTCAGCCATGTGAACAGAGCAGGTGGCTACTGTTTCCGGTCTTACATTGCGAGTGTGTTTGCACAGATGTTTTATGAAAAGATTTGCGCTATTGTTTCTTATCGTCAGATGGGGCCATGCGTTATCACATAACATCACTGATTTATTGCCAGTTACTCCCTTAAAATTCACTTAAGATAGGTTTTGACTTAAAACTCTTGCAAAATATGCTGGTAAGCACTTATGGCTTGGCACATGTCACATAAAATCATGAAATAGTGACCAACATCTAAAATATCTCTTAATAATTTTAAAATCTTTCCTCAATAAACCAGTAACAGACCTTAGCATAGGTCTCCTGCTCAATCTTGCGACGAATACCCGCTTGCAAATCCGAGAAGTTACTAGGTCCCCTTGTAACCTGCAAAAATGCGAGCAGCAGCGGTGGTGGCTTGGAGCGTGGTTTCTTTCACGAAACATATTTTAGGGCCCTTGCAAGGAGGGGAGAAAGGGTTTAATCTAGTTGTTGCGCTATAGATGGGGATAAGAGTTGCATAGAAAGTGTTTAATAAAAGACATAAAATTATGTGGGGTAAAAAAGCTTATAAATGGAGATATGAACTGTCATTTAGTCTCCAACGGCGATTTTTTGTACTCTCATATGTTTTTCAGAGGTTTCACATAACCA